TTTATTGCAGTTATCTGTTTGATTATATTGTTTTTCTTTATAACATTAAGTTTCCATGAAGTCATGGAGCCTGGTCATCTTGTTCAACTCTGTAGTCTCAGCTCCTGGCATAATGTCTCGTACCAAGAACACCTGAATAAATAATTTTTGGAGTGACTAAAATATCTAGATTCTAATGTGGAAGAAATTTTTTATATTCAAAGGGAAAATTCTCAGTGAGAAAGTGTTTGCAGAATGTTTGGGGACAGACGTCTGTAAAGAGTGAACGAAAAGGAAAATCAGAATTAATTTTTTAATTTTTTCACATAAGCATAAAATGAGAAAATCAGAATACTGTTTATGTGAACAGGTGTAGAAAAATACTAAAATTTAGGCTGATAGGAGATGATGTTATAGGTGGTAGTTATATCAGGACAGAGGGGAATGAAACAGAAAACATACAAGAAGGGATTTAACTTGAATCTTCAGTTCTTTAAAAAAATTAGTTAAAATCTTCTCTGTATATGCTACATTGTGTTTTCATGTAAATACATTTCTTAAATTATGATCATATAGTTTGTATCCTACTTTTATTGTATGTTCAAAGCTATTGGTTTTTAACTTTATTGAAATATTAACAGGTATACAGAAAAGTGATCTTAAGGATACAGTCAATTAATTTTCACAAACTGAGTGCACTTGTATAAAACAGCAGCCATATTAAGAAATAAAACATTATTAGTCCCTTGGAAACCACCCCCAAGCTATTCATTTTTATTGATTTAGGGTATGTCTGGCCACTTAATAGAATGGCTCTATGGAGAAATTATTACTGAAAAGGGGAAACAGTTATCACAGAGGATATTGTTTTTGAGCTGCTGTCACCAGTGTAGGTTAAGAATACTAGTTGGGGGCCTGGGTGAGGTGGCTCACACCTGTAATAATCCTAGCACTTTGGGAGACAGGCGGGAGGATTGCTTGAGGCCAGGAGTTTGAGACCAGCCTGAGCAAGAGAGAGACCCCATCTCTACAAAAAATAGAAAAATTAGCTGGGCATGGTGGTGTGTGCCTTGTAGACTCAGGAGGCTGAGATAGGAGGATCACTTGAGCCCGGGAGTTTGAGGTTGCAGTGAGCTATGGTGATGCCACTGTACTCTGGCCTGGGCGACAGAGCAAGACCCTGTCAGAAAAAAAAAGAAGAAGAAGAATGCTAGTTGGGATAAATGGGAAGTGCAGTGGTATGCAGGCAAATACAAACATCCAAAATGTTTTAGGATTTAAGTAATCAAATTCATTTGAGTTCAGTATAGGGGACAGGGGAGTGATGGGAAGTAAGGCTGGAACCGAGTTATGAAGAATCTTCTGTGCAAGCCAAACAATGGAAAAGTATTGAAGTTCCTTGGATCTGTTATTTATAAAGTATTATTTATTTGCAGAAATTTAAAATATACTTTTTTGTTTGTAGGCACACAAGTCTCTGAATTTTGTTTCAACGCTGCTCCAGATTACTATGTCAGAACAACTGGATTTACCCGTGAGACAGGCAGGCAAGTTTCTTGAGTATTTTCTTGAGTGTATATAATATATTATTTAAAATGTTCATAATTGAATAGCAGAAGTATCTTGGTATGACCTTTCAATGATTTTTTTTTTCTTCCCCTGAGAATTCATTTACGTTTAGTGTTCACAACAAATAGCAAGTGCCTTAATAATTGGTGGCAAAGTTTAAAGGAATAATTTGATATTTAGTTGAATTAAAAGAGAGGTTGAAAAGAGAAATTGATGAGGTTTATTAAAAGATTCTATGTATGCTCAGTTTCCTTCCCTGATGGGTGATTCTGAGACACAAACCTGTTCGTGCAATTATTCCTTATACCTTTTTGCTTTTACTGTTGTATTTTAACAATTTAAAAAGTATTGCTTCTTAGTTCCTGTTAAACATATTGAGTAATTCCCTCAGCATCAAATAGTCTTTGAAAATGTGGCGCACTACTTGTGAATATTGTTAGTCTGCAAAATAATGGAATTTACATCTTTAATTTCTCCTCAATCTATTTGAATATGTAATAATTTTGTCAGAGGAAATATAAAGTACCAAATAATTTTATCATTCTAGAAAAGCAGATTACCTTTTTTTTGTTATTTCTTGCTATTCTTTTTCCCGTGTCTATTTTGTTAGAAAAATTTTTTGTTTTGCTCACTTCACTTAATGCTCACTTCACTTTTCTTTCCATAATTTTAGTCCTGAAATTCATATTTTATTTTATTTTATTTTTGTTAGGCAAACGCAAAAATGAGGTTTATTGAGGAAAGAAAGATAGGATTATAGGGCAAGAACAAGATAATAGGTGTACAGAGTGTAATGCATATGCCACAGATGACGACTGAATCCATTGTCTCAGCAAAGGGAGAGCCAAGGAAAGGGCAAAGAGAGCTTAAATTCATATTTTAATGGCTAAATAATTTATCATAATGTGCCGTATGCAATGAACCATTTCTCATCACCTCCATTAGGTCTATTTTGTTAACAGTTATGTTTCCAGTGCCCAAAATATTGCCTGGCACGCTGTAGGTGCTCAGGAAATGAATGAATATATGTCGGTTATGATTTATTTATTTATTTTTACCTGAACTGTACTCGGCAGATATGATTTTTTTTTCTTTTATTTCAGCATATTATGGGGTTACAGATGTTTAGGTTGCGTATGTTGCCCTTGGCCCCCCCCCCCCCCCAAGTCCGTGTTTCAAATATGTCCATCCTTCAGGTGGTGCGCATTGCACTCCTTGTGTATACAAATACCCGTCCCCTCCCCCGTTCCCCTCCCCCCTGCCCAACATCCAATAGATGTTATTCTTATATGTGCATTTATGTGTTGATTAGTTAATACCAATTTGATGGTGAGTACAAATGGATCCCGTTCTTCTGCTCTTGTGGTGCCCCACTTTGGATAATGGGCTCAAGTTTAATCCAGGAAAGTATAAGAGGTGCTAGATCACTGTCGTTTCTTATGATTGAGTAATATTCCATTGTAAACATATACCATATTTTGATAGTCCACTCATGGATTGATGGGCACTTGGGTTGTTTCCACATTCTTGCAATAGTGAATTGTGCTGCCATAAACATTCGGGTGCAGATGTCTTTATCGTAGAATGTTTTGTGCTCTTTTGGGTAGATGCCTAATAGTGCTATTGCTGGATCGAATGGTATTTCTATTTTTAGCTCTCTGAGGTATCTCCAAATTCTTTTCCACAGAGGTTGCACTAATTTGCAGTCCCACCAGCAGTGTAGAAGTGTTCCTGTCTCTCCACATCCTCGCCAACATTTGTTGTTCTGTGTTTTTTTGATAGAGGCCAATCTCACCGGGGTTAGGTGATACCTCATTGTGGTTTTGATTTGCATTTCTCTAATGATTAGAGATGTTGAGCATTTTTTTATATGTTTGCTGGCCATTATTCTGTCTTCTTTTGAAACGTTTCTGTTCATTTCGCTTGCCCATTTGTTGATGGGGTTGTTTGACTTTCTTGTTGATTTTTTTGAGTTCTAGATAGATTCTGGTTATCAGCCCTTTATCAGATGTGTAGAGAGCAAATATTTTTTCCCATTCTGTGGGCTGTCTATTCACTCTAATGATAGTTTCCTTAGCAGTGCAGAAGCTTTTTAATTTGATTAGATCCCACTTATTTATTTTTGTTGTTGCGGCGATTGCTTTGGGGTTCTTCTTCAAGAATTCCTTACCTAGGCTGATGTCTGAAAGGGTCTTCCCAACATCTTCATTTAGAATTCTTAAGGTTTCATGCCTTAGGTTTTGCAGATATGATTTTTAAGTTTTTTTCTTTTTTCTTTTTCAGACAGATACGATTTTTTAAAAAATTATTTTTATATAAGTTGCACAGTAATGGAACATTTTTGTATCAATATAATGTAGTAATTTGGCTGAACCTTGGTCAGCAGTAGATTTTTTTTTTCATTTCTAATTTAATAGAAAAGGTCACTTTGATTATGTCTCTCTTTTTTTCTCTTATATGTAAGTCTCATTTCTCAGTTGACTTTTTTCCATTTTTAGGCAGGAATCTTTGCCTTTAAATTGAATTTTTACTAAGAAATTAAAAGTGTTTGGCATTTATTTAGGGGGGATCTTAACACGTTCTAGGGACTTGATTATGTGTATTAGAAAATTTAATTATACCAGAAAATCGTTTTGGTGTGTACAAACTGGAAACAATGGAATTGGTAAAAAAGATTTTAATATCATTAATTTTAAAATTACATACTTGGAATAATTGAGTGATACTCTAATGCATGGCATATGGTAGTTTCATCGGCTAGACTTTGAATGATTTAGTTCACTCTGTCTACAGGTAGAGCTCAAACATTCTGGATGGAGTAGACTGAATCATGAGATCCTTGCGGTTCAGTTGTCAGTTTTTTATGTTTTGTTGGAGTGAAAAAACTTTTAAAATACCAGATCAAAAAAGTATATATCCCATTCCTTTATTCATTGAGATGGAAAGAAATACTCAGAGACTGCATCCAGAGACATTGGGACTATTATCAAGTCTCAATTCTGGTCTTTGTTCTGTTTTGGAGGTACTCAAAATTCTGTAGTAGTAGTATTACCTGGACTATGTTGGTTCCATATACTGAGTCAACATTCTTTATCTTAAAACTTCTGTTGGGTATTTTAATGTCTACCTTAATCCTTTTTGAAGTACTATAAGACGGGGTATTAATTCCCAAAATAAAGCAAACTAGAGTATAAAAATCCTAGTTCTGTCAGCTATTCTTGTTCAAATAGGTACAGGACTCCAAGTAAGAATTGCAAATCAGAAAAGAGCCAGTGTTTTTTAGAATATAAGAATTAATTAATTTTGGGTGATTTCCCTTTACAGTACATCCTATACATTGTGATCCACTTCCCCCCGCTCTCCCTTAGGGCTGGGTAAAAAGCATCATTAGCAGCCTAGATTTTGCCACATCATCAGTTTGTTAACTTTTGTCAAATAGCAATGTGCAAAGGTAGCAGTATGATAGCTGACAGAAAATAGTGATGTCTGAGTTTTGAACACAGCAAATTCTCCCATGAAATAACATGAATTTGAAGTGGTGAGTGATTGAAATACTTAAATTTATAGACTAAGACTATGATAAAAATTTTTTATCACCTTCGTGTGATTAGTTGTAGCAACTATATTGGTATGTGTATGATGGTTTTGTCTTTTAGAGTTTTCATTCAGAAAACAGATTTGATAAAATTAATTTAACTCTCATAGAAAATGGTATAAAAAATGTTTTGAATAAATGTGATGTAAAAAATCTTAGATAACAGTTTCATTTGTGGTATGTTTATTTGCAGGGTTCTCTTAAACTATGTCTTTTTTTTTTTTTGAGACGGAGTCTCACTGTGGTGCCCGGGCTAGAGTGCCGTGTCGTCAGCCTAGCTCACAGCAACCTCAAACTCCTGGGCTCAAGCGATCCTTCTGCCTCAGTCTCCCGGGTAGCTGGGACTACAGGCATGCGCCACCATGCCCAGCTAGTTTTTTCCATATATTTTTAGTTGTCCGATTAATTTCTTTCTAATTTTAGTAGAGACGGGGTCTCGCTCTTGCTCAGGCTGGTTTTGAACTCCTGAGCTCAAACAATCTGCCCGCCT